ACACACCCTAGGAACTCCTTGAGGTATCTAAGGATCCTTTCTACAGTTTCAAAGTGAGTTATCCTAGGATTGTGCATGAACTGATTAATGACACCCACACTGCATAGGCCATATCAGGCCTGGTCATAGACAAGTATAAGAGTTTCCCTATAAGTATCTGAAACTTCTTCACATCTTTCAAAAATTCCCCTTGATTGTCTCTCAGCTGATGGTTAGGCTTAATGGGTGAATCAATTGGCTTCACCCCCAACTTGCTTGCATCCTCTAATAGATCTAGTCCATATTTCCTTTGGGAAATAAAGATGCCCTTTTGAGAGTGGGCGACTTCAATCCTAAGGAAATAACATAAGGGGCCTAGATCTTTCACCTCTAATTGAGTGGCTAAGAATTTCTTCAGCTTCTGTATTTCAATCTTCTAGTCTCCTGTAACCACTATGTCATCAATACGCATAATTAAAGCTGCAATTTTCCCGTCACCTTTCTTCACAAATAGAGTATGATCTGTTGGCATTGTTTGAACCCTATATGGTTACAACTAAGTGAAACTTACTAAACCAGGCCCAAGGTGATTGTTTCAACCCATATAATGATCTTTTTAACCTGCACACCTTCTACTCACTACCTTTGGCACAAAAACCTGGAGGTCAAGTCATGTACACCTCCTCCTTTGGGTCACCATTCAAGAATGCATTTTTAATATCCAATTGGTGAAGTTATCAGTCAAGATTGGTTGCCAGTGAAAGGGGGATTTTGATAGAATTCATCTTGGCCACTGGAGCAAAGGTCTTTGCATAGTCTACTCCATATACTTATGTAAACCCTTTGGCCACCAATCTGGCTTTGTACCTTTCTACTGTACCATCAGCCCTATGCTTCATTGTGAACACCCACTTGCATCCCACTGGTTCATTTCCTTCAGGAAGATCTACCAACTCCTAGGAGCCATTTTTGTGTAAGGCATTAATTTCTTCCTTCATTGCATCTGTCCATTTAGATTTGGATAAAGCTTTTGCCACATTCTTATGAACATAAACACTGCCATTGGAGGAAAGGACCACATGATATGAAGGTGAAATATGGTCATAGGACATAAAGTGAGAGATAAGATGATTAGTAGTACAAGATCTGGCACCCTTTCTCTTAGCAATAGAAACATCAAGATCATTAATAATAGGAGAATCAATATCAAGAGGTTCAAGCATATCAATGGGAACAAGTGTACCTGGCTAATGAGGAGGATCTGCCTCTGGAGAGTCTGATGTTGTTGGTTGCACAGTTTCAAGTTCCATGGCTCTTGAACTCTGCTGGCTCTTATGGCGGCAAGGGAAGACACGAAATGGAGGAGGATCAAGAAGAGGAGGTATTTGAGTATGAGTCTGGGTGTGTTTCTCCTCCTCAACCCTATTCTCCCCTAAGGAGAAACTGAGAAAAAAGGTTGACTCTGAAAGAAGGATACATCCATGAAGACATAGTACTTGTGTGAGGCATGGTCATAGCAACCATAACCCTTTTGAGATAAAGGATAACCAAGAAAAACACAAGGAATGCTATTTCGAGAAGATGATGATTTTTCCTTTCAGTGACACCGTTTTGCTGGGGTGTCCTAGCATAAGAGCTTCGATTAAGAGATCCACACGAAGTAAAGAACTCCGTGAGATCACTATGGAAGTACTCCTTGTTGTCTGATTAGAAAATATGAATCTCAGTTTGGAATTGAGTAAAAATCATGCTTTGAAAATCTTTCACAATCTTTGGCACTTCATCTCTGGATCGCATAGGATAACCCATGTATATCTAGAGTAGTCATCAATCAAAGTAATGAAATACTTATATCCAGTCTCAGAAGGTAGAGTAACAGGGCCCCAAACATCAGAATAAACAATACAAAATGGAAATTTGGATCTTTTATTTCTTAAAGGAAACAAATTTTACAATGTTTGCTCAATTGATATGTCTGACATTGTAACTCACTATTTCACTAACCGACAAAGACTTACATAAGTTTTAAAGACTCAAACGAAAGATGACCAAGACGACTATGCTATAAGTAGGCATTATTCTCACTAGGTGAACTTAAGGACTGTGTAGCCACAATACCAATTTTATTCTCCAAAACGTAGAGACCATCCGTCATGCTTCCTCTACCAATTGTCTTCCCCGAGGCCAAATCCTGAAACACACATGAAGAAGGAAAGGTCACTGAACAATTAAAGGAGTGAGTAAAACTGCTTGGAAAATAAATTGATAGGTAATTTAGGAACATACAACACATTAGAGAGGGTAAGACCGAAAGGAAGGGAGATGGTTCCTTGACCGGCTATGGTGGAGAATGATCCATCAGCTAGTCTCACCTTATCTCTCCTAGAGAGGAGGTTATATGCCTGAAATAAAGTTGACTTACTAGTCATGTGATTTGAGGCTTCAGAGTCAATTATCCAAGGGGAATCATATGTCTAAGATGACACATGGAAAACAGTGGCAATGTTACTTAATGTAGATGCAAAGGAGGTAGGAGTAGGGCAAGAATCCATTTGGAGAAGTGCCCTGCCATATAATTCTAAGTGGTCAAGAAAGGATTTGATAATTTCTTCCTTGGGGTCAGAATCAAGTGTCGCTCCTGGGGCACCATGGGACTAGTCTCTTGAGATGCCACATTTGCTGAGTTATATTTTTTCTGAGTCTGCTAGGTTGGCTTCTTACTCTGATTAGATGCTGATTTCTTATTCAATTCCTAAGCCCATTTAGGCTTGCCATGGAGTTCCCAACATGTGTCTCTAGTGTGCCTGGACTTCTGATAGTGGGTGCACCAAAGCTTTGTCTTTGTTGTCCACTCTCTTCTATGAATCACCATTCTTAAAAGGGCCATTGACATTTGAATTTGTATCTCCTCGGATTGCTAGTGCAACTGGCTCTCCCTCTGTACAATTCATCACACTTCTTTTACTCTCTTCAGACTGAATGAAGGCATAAACTTCCTGAACTGAAGGTAAGTTCTTACTTCCTAAGATTTGTACCCTCATGGACTCATATGTAGGATTTCTTAAAAGGGCCTTTGGCATTTGAATTTGTATCTCCTCAGATTGCTAGTGCAACTGGCTCCCCCTCTGTACAATTCATCACACTTCTTCTACTCTTTTCAGACTGAACGAAGGCATAAACTTCCTGAATTGAAGGTAAGTTCTTACTTCCTAAGATTTGTACCCTCATGGACTCATATGTGGGATTCAACCCCAAGAGAAAAGCAAATACTCGTTGTTGGGAGACAAGTGACTTGTAGGCCTTTGCATCTTCATTACACTTTCAATTCACATTTTGATAATGATCTAGTTCCTTCTAGATTGATGTCAGATTTGAGTAGTACACCGAGAGACTCCTTTCCTCTTGCTTGTAGGTGGAGGATTTAGCTTGTAACTGGTATATCTTTGCATAGTGCCTCTGCTCTAAATAGGCAGATTTCACTTGTTCCCATATTTCACAAACTGTTTCAACCCACATAAATGTCTTCCTTACTTGTGGCAGCATGGGAACTAAGAACCATGACATCACCATACTATTTTCTTGGTCCCTCCTGTCATGTTCAGCACTTTCAGACTTTGGTTCCTTCACTTTACCATTGATATACCCTATTTTCCCCCTATCAGTAATGTAAAATTTAATTCCCCTAGACCATTCAAGGTAGTTTAGTCCATCAAAGGGAATTACAGCCATGGGGAAACTCATATCCATCCCCCCCACTCATTCTGTTTTGACCTCCTGAAATCCCAGAAGTTGCAGAATTCTCGGAGGACATGATTCAAGAACACTTTTCAGTTTCAACACACATTAAGATCTCTCCTAATACCCAAAAAGGTCCAAAAAACACACTAGAGATGCAGTCCACATGCACACACTCTGGTCTGGATACAATCTGAACACAGACAAGCTCCAATTCTCTTAAAAAAATTTCAGGTTGGTTTCAGCACTGCACCACGTTTAACAGTCCCAATCCACCAATTTTCCAAATCACCTAAACACACCCAACTACTAGGAGAGATCTCAAAGCAGTGAAGTCACACCAAAACTTGGTAAAAACAGGTCATTTGTGACCTACAAATAACCCATTCTCAGGTACAGGATCACACGATCCACAGAAAAGAGGTCTGAGCCTCACAATTCCTCTGACTGTATTCAGCAGTCTTGTTTCATAGGGTTTTTCTTGGTACACAACCAAGAGAAAAGGGAAAAAAGGTAAAGCAAACTTGTACCAGTCATAGGTCAACTTCTCTGATCTCAGTTGAAGAAGACAGCAAGGTAAAGAAGAAAGAACTAGTTCGATCTGTTCTCAGACCCGGTAGAACCACTCTGATACCATATTAGCAGAAGAAAAGAGAAGAAATAAGGAAGAAGAAGAGAAGAGAGAGAGAGAGAAGAGAGTAAGGAGAAGAGAAGAGAAAGGTTTGGAGAGTTCTAATCGGTCTGGCAGTGCCAGCTTATGTTATTATATATAGGGCGACCATAAATAAAAGGGAAAAGACCCTTATGCCCCTGCTGTAGTCAAAGTACATAAACCAAGGAAAAAAAGGCTATTTTAACCAGACCAAACGGGTCCTAACTAAGCAGAATACAATCATAAATATAAAGAAAAACATTCCAATAGGAACCTTGGCTTTTCTTGTTTTTTCCCCTAATTTCTACATGTTATCATCATTTTCTAGTTCAAATAATTAGCTATGCTTTTTTTTTTTTTCTTTTTCACTTGTAAGTTTGCTCATTCTAACTCATATGTGAGAATGAACCAAAATAGCTTGTTATCGGTATTACTATTACTTGTAATCATGATTTTTTATAGGTATATTGTAGCGATGATTTCCCTTAGAGTTTATTTGATTGGAAATGCAATCCTGTTTTATACTGCTGTTTAGTGAATTTTCTTTTGCACGATAGACTTTTGGATTACTTGGAAAAAACTTTTTCAACTTAAAGCTTTAAGGTTATCCTAATTATATATGTCGTGCATACAGAGTGGATTCGTCTGTTTATGAAGAATGCTATGAATTTTTATTTCTGGTGTCTGTGGCTTCTGAAGATGGACTTACAACATTATATGACTCTGGGGTCATGAATGTGCTTACTTCTCATGTTTCTAATTTGCCTGATGGTACTTTCTTAACTTTATAAAAGAGTAACTCACATTAATAATCTGTTTTAGCATTTCTTTTAGCTGTTGTCATTCATCAAATGTTAAAAAATGGTATTATAAAGCCGCTTAAATGAAACTAAAAAAATATTAGTTTATGACTCACCTGAAACAACCAACATGCATGTTCATGCATGTTGGGTGTATTGATACTTTGAACCATGATTGTGCCCAAGCTGTTGATCTGGCCTAAGAAAAATAGCCAAGTACAAGAAGAGGAGAGAATTATTTAGAATTGGGACTGTCATTAATATGGCAGTTTATGCTTTTTCCCCCATTTCAGCTGGACCATCCAGTTCAACAGTTATGTTCTTTACAGAAATTGGTTCAATATCCAAACTAACCGTTAAAGATCAAGTTGTTGAATTGGGTCTATCATCTATTATTGTTTTGTTTCTGAAACAATGGTGTCTTCGTAGCATTTTTGCCAGTTTGTTTATTGAAAGTTAGGGTCATGTGGAAAATGGACCTCTGGGCTTTAATTTTGACTGTCTAGTAGCAATTCAGGTCCTCAGGTGCTTATTTGATTTTCATCATTCTATTTGCATTTCCTTTGTTAGCCATACAAACGGCTTTTCTTTTTTATTATTAGTTAGCTATATATAAGACCATTAGGATTTTTATTTTTATTTATTTTATTCTTAGAACTTACAACATGTAATTGCTTTGAAGGTTCTCACTCCTTGGAGCTTTCCATGAGACTTATGCAGTTAATATTGAGCAAACTACCTCTGGACATCATAAATACAGAATATCCATTGGAGTTGTCAAAAATGGTGGGCCCTAGTTGTTATTTTTGCCATATCACTTGCCTTTGTTCATTTTTGGATTAACTGTTTTATTTGTTGGTTCTATCTGTATTAAACCATTAGCAACTTCTACACCTTTTTGTATTTTGGCACTACTTTGAAAAACTATAAAATATGTTAATGCTATTTCAGGTGGCTGCAATGGCTAGGCAGTTTGCTGTGTTGCACACTGCCCTTAAATTTGAAGCCCTGCGCTTACTATCTGCCATTCTGTCCTCAAAATATGCGGTATGGGAGTTTTCTTATAACCTTGTTCCCCAGGAAAAAATATTTAACAAGTACATTCAGCTTTCATGTTGTCATATTTCTTGGAGTTACCTATCAAATCTTTAGTTAATTTGTTTGAATAAAATCTGTTATATAAAAACCATATAAAATTCAGTAGCAATTGATTCAAGCTAGGTTCTTTTTTATTTTTTGTTTTCTTTTCCATTTTTTGTTCTGACATAAACTACATAAGGAGTTTGATGGCTTGATATCATGTAAACATTTCCTCCTTTCAGAATTTTGAACTCGCTGGTGATGCTAAAGTGAGGGTAGGGGTAATTATGTGAAGAACATAGAGATTTAATAGATTATTTGGTTTAAGATGGGTTCTAGTCCATGCTTTCAGTTTCTATTATGAATTTAACACGATTAACCATTCTTTTGTAAGTGGGCTTTATTTATTTATTTATTTCCTTCTTGTTTTCGTCATACTATTACCATGATATTAACAGTTTCAGAGATGTAAGTAGTGATGGTGATGGTGATGACAGACAAGCGTTTACTTTTAATAGAATATTAGAAACAACCTGAGGTTTCATTTTTGGTAATATCAATGTTAATCCAAACAGGAAAACAAAAGGTTCTGGTCTAAAATTATAAAAAAGGGAAACAACTAAGGTCAGATAATTTTACATCTTAGCTCCACCTTGAGATTTCAGAAAAAATAACAAATGTTGTAATGATGGCATGATGGTAATGAAACATGCTTAAACTTTTGGAGATTTTTACTAATTCCAGGAAATTAAAAAGATTACGTGAAATGGAATCAGTATTTCTGAGCAGCAAGAATAGGTTTAAATCTGAAACCAACCATGCAGACATTTCCTGGGGAAACAAAGGGGGTATGAAGCTGTTTTTTAGAATGAAAAGGAGTTTTGGTTAATGTATCAACTACCTTTTTTTTTTCTGACAAGTTTAATGTATCAACTACCATTCATCTAGATGTATTGTATTTGGAATAAATCTGCTGTACTTCTCTCTTTGGTAAATAATTTATAATCGATTATTTTTTTGATCAGCAACAAATAATTTGTAATAATTTCTTAGTGAAAAAATAAAAATATTTTAGATCTTGGAACAAATGGGAATGTTGTTTCAAAGATTTCTTTTTTATTTTTCCTTGGATTTGTGTTTTTTGAAAATCACAAATGCTGTGTAAATCTCTGTGCCTGGGCCAGTAGCATAGTTAAAAAGCTTGTGATGATAATTTGGTCAATTATTTTGATTGTGTTCTTGATGTTTTCTAGGCACCATTGCATGATGCTCTTCGGTCAGTGTCAAATGATTCATGGGCAACCTACATGCGCATTGGTATTGTGGCAGTTTTACAGGATCGTGTTGGTATGTTGTGGTATTTTCTCTTATATCATTGTGAACAACAGTTTCTCCAAGAAGCCATTTACTGTCCTCCATTTAGGTGTTGACACTTGGAGTTTTTCACTTGTAAATGCTTGGTGATTGAAGTGTAAGAATATCTGGATATATTGACATTTTACTCTCTGGTTCTGCTAGGGGTTATGATTGCTAATAGATTCAAGTTGGATTTAGATTTTGCAAACCTTTAACAGATAAAGTTAACAAATTATCGGAATATATATTTGAAATTAGATTTAAGAAGTTTTACAATGATGTGTATGGAACAAGAAGTCCCACACGAATACATATTTCTGTCCCTTTTACAATGCAGCCCAAAACAGTTGTTGCCTCAAAGCCCCTTGTTTAGCAAGATAATCAGCTAGACCATTTGCACTCCTTCTAACCCATTTGAATTCTGCTTCTATCTCCCTTGCAACCTTTTCCACTTCCCTTATCACTTGTTTGAAGGTCTACGGAGTAGTTCTATTTTAGCCCAAGAGATGATCACCTCGGAATCCCCTTCAACCTCAATTTGCCTCATTCCTAATTGCTTGCTATCTTCAATCCTTGTAGCAATGCCATTACCTCAGCTTTTAGAGAGTTGCCCATGCCAATAGGCCTAGAGAATAATGCTAATGTCCTCCCTTCAGAATTTCTGATTACTCCCTGAAGATGATCAAGACTGCTATCAGTCTTGGGCACTAAGGAATTTCAGGTTCGAACAGAAGAGAAAGTGAAGAAGAAAGAGGAGAAAGATTAGTGAGAGAGCAGTAGAACACAGGTTTGAAAGGAAGGACAGATTCTGAATGATCT